TAAGTCGTTTTTTTTTTTACCCATAAAGCAGTGGGGTCCAAAATGTACAAGCTTGTTTTTTTTTCCATTTTGTTCTTTATTAAAAATGTCATTTCAAATCTCATGGATATCTGTAAAACAATACAATGAAAAAAAAGTCCCATAGAAATGGTGTCAAAATAACCACTCTCCCCAATAACCAACATACTCCTGGCCCACCCCCCCTCCCACTAAACATTACAAGTCAAAAGGAATGAGCTGGTACTCGTTAACCACATAAGGGAAACAACAGTTTTTCTTCTAGGGATCAAACCCCAACCGAAAAGAAAAAAATAGATGGAAAAGAAATTGAAGGGTCAACTAGCACTGGGTCACTACACCATGGCTTTAAGTCAATTCAAAACACAACCTTAAACAATAGGAATTCATTGTGAATGGTCGTTTAAAAATTCTACTCAGGATGCCGTGCTGATTCTATTTTTATACATTTTATTTTTTTTAGATGACGGGATGGTACTCACAATTCAGGGCAAAGTGCCATTGTCCTAAGATGATTCAAAGGAGAGCATAACATGGCACCACCAAGGTGAAGAGGCTTCAGAATGGAAAATGAAGCACAGATTTATTTATAAAAAAAAGTAACCAAAAAAATAAAATTAAAGCCTTTGCTCCCGAATGTGAGTGGAAAAACCAAACAGGGAATAGAAGATTTAGGGTTTGGGTAGATCAAGTTATTACTTAGTCGTCTTCTCCCTCATCATCCTGAAAGGACAAGATATCATAAAGTTAGCGACTTGTTGAAAACAAACCATTTAAAGAAACATTTTGGACTTTATCCATTATACCTCTCCATCTTCTCCATCTTCCTCTTCGTCCTCCTCTCCATCTTCATCTCCCTCCTCGTCGATGTCCTCCAGACCCTCCTCGTCCTCTTCATCGTCCTCACCTTCTCCTTCTTCATCATCCATGTCAGGAACCTAGTAATGAAAATCACTTTGAGAATGTGTGTCTTTTAAGTCATACCAAAAAAGATAGCATGCCTCGAACCCCCAAAAAGGAATACAATAAATTAATATAAAGTCAAAAACAGGTCTGCTTATTGTGGAAAGTGGTAGCTAAAGATAGATAACCCTGTTTGTAGACATACCAGGTAGTACTGCAGGGGGTTAGGCCAGATGTCATCCTTGATGACCTCTCCGAGCTCATCAGCACCGGCGTCAGCGTGATCAGTGAACCAAGTGAAGAAGCTCTCTGGCTCTTCATGTTGCCTCTTCCTTCCGGCTTTGTTCTGTGTCTGGCTGGAGCGCTTGGTCAGGTCCTACAAACAGAGGGAGCATAAACAAAACAAATTCAGATTAAAAATGTTCACTATGCAAGTCCTTTTGTCAGGTCATACTGCTTTGATATTTGCTTTTGGTCAAGTACTCAAACTAGCATATCAACTCTATTTTGCAAAAAGATTTAGAAAATACACATACCTTTCCTGATTTCCATTTGATTTCTGTCGACTTTGAAGATGGGTCCCCGCTCTCATTCAAATGGAACTCTTTGGAAAGTACTTTGTTTTCGAAGTATGGATTTTCGTCAAAATACTAGAAAACATAAACATTACAAAATGAGTAAGAATATATGAAACAACATGTACCTCCATACCGTGTGTGTCAATACTTACAAAATCTATTCTGTAGCCCGACTTGATGTCTTCAAACTCTGTCACCTCCACTCGGCTGAGGTAATGAAGTGCTTCTTCATCTTCCTCTCCCAGTAGGGCAGATACTGTGGGGGAGGGGAACAGACCAGACTTTAACTTGAGCCACTGTCCAAAACATTTTAACCTGGTAATGAAATGACTTCCGAATGACTAGGCTATGAAAATAAACACTTCATGTTGAGTAGCTCACCTTGTGGATGGTTGACAAACGTAGTGACCCAGAAGTTGGGGATTTTGGCGATCAGTTCTGACCTCTTCTGAAAGAATGGCTGACGGAGTTTGTTGTATTTCTGTTCTACTTTGAGGATCTCCTCACTGGCTTGCTCGTTCAACCTGGAGAACAAAGTTGAAGAAGTGTTTTTTTATTTTAAAAACGTGATGCTTTCAAATTGAAAAGTAACAGGAAGTCAAACAGTTCAGAATCTGCAATTTGTTTATGCCACAAAACAGGCTGCCCCATCTGACTTCATTAGTTACTTTTACAAAACAGCAACCCTGACCTTAAAAATAAAAAAGTGTTTTAAAATTACCTGTCAATTTCGTTTTGAACTTCGTCGATGTGTTCAATAGCTTCTTGCTGCTCTTTCTCTGTGAAAATAAAAATTATGTTATAAAAGATGCATAACAGAGCTCGGGAAAAAAAGATTTGCTCAGAAAAAGATACATGCATACTTTTTTTTTACGTGCATGCACAACTTATCGTATTTCAAGTCATGTGTGTGAGTTTGACACAATGAAACCCTAGTGTACTTTCAAGATTTTCGAAGTTTTACTGATTCAAATAGACTTTGAGATTACAATATTTAATCGCCCGGTAAAATGCGGGCTCCCCCGGAGGTTAACGTAATATGAGCGGCCAATAGCTGCAGCTCTAGCGGCTCAGACACTCTGCGTTTCCTGCCGGCTGCAACCGACAAGGCCGCGTGGTTTAAATGTGAGTCTGCACATACATTGCCGCGATAACGTGAGACCAAGCTAGGACAGATGCCAGAACAACCCCCCCTAATAGTCGTACCGGTGGTCTTACGGCAGAGCCCTGCGTACAGTTGTATAAATATAATATTCACCACGTTAAACTGATAGAAAGGCTGGTAAATATGGATGCGTTTTGACCAGTAACAAAACATAACGTCGTTAGGGAACATTATAACAACAACAGTAGCTGGCTAACGGCTATCGCCTGAATGAAATTGTCACTTTCCTCGTTCCAAAATCACAATAAAAGCGATGTAATGGTGGCTTGCTCAATTAAAGCTCATTTTAGAACAGCACCCAATGCAAGGGATCACCCAGCATCGCACACATCCACTTAGTGGGCAGCGAACGACACAACTGGCCACGCTGATGATGCTAAGGGCTAGCTAACATGGCCTCTCAGCGCCGGTCTGAACTGAACAACAGCGGGCATGCTAATAAATGCGCTAGCTGACGAGCTAGCTGCTGTTATCGAAATACGAACACACGCAGCAAACAGCCGCGGTCCACCACAAATACGGTCCTGGAGCTAAATTAAAGCAATACACACAGTATATATCAACAATATTGAACCCTGTAGCAATACAAATTGTGTTAGAAGAAGAAAGTGAAAATGGCGGTGAACGGGAGGCCGCCATGATTCCCCATCTTACCGGAGGTTTCGTCCGCTCCGTCATGGTTCGAGTTCAGCTCCTTTTTACTCACTTTTGCCGCCGAGGTAGACATGATTTCTCAAGCTGGGATAACTAACTGTCGTATGAGAAACTAGCTGGTAGCTTTGAAATCTGGTTTCTCCTTGAACAGGAGAATTTTCGGTGTAAAGTTCACAGCGTGCAGAAGCCAACAACGTGCTGCTTCCACACAATGTAGCTGCCGACGAGCGAGGAAGTCACAGCAACCGCCGCTCACGCGCTCCTTTCATTACGACGCGCCTCGCCGAATGGAGAAGAGGGCGAGCTCCGCCTCTCAAAATAGGTCTCACTGCCTTGCTCACATTTGCTGATTTACACCTCTTTCTCCTCTTAAAATATCACTCAAATTGAACTACATTTCTAATTAGTACTAATGTTGATCTCAGAAACAATTTTGAAGTTAATGGCCGCCCAAAATATTTTATTAGGACCAGGCCAAACCTTCATTTGGACCGACTCGCACTTGCGCACTTTAAAAAAGATGCTGTATATCATTGGAGGCAGGAGGGACCTCGTTCTGGTGGTCAATGCAAATTAGCTTTTCAGTTTTAGGATTTAATTGTTCGTGTTTGATACGAAAAGGACAAGTAAACAGGACGTTTAGAAATATCTGTATTTAAAATGTAATTAAAAGGTAATATAGCCTAAAATACAAATAGGACTGCAATGCTATAGGTAGGCCTGCAGTCAGTTCAATTAAATTACTCTTGTAAAAAGCATACTGGCAATAACTCAAACTAGCCCAATGTGTGCCACAATATGGAAGATTTGGTGCCGTGTGTACGTTTCTGTTTCCCCTGTTTAAAAACGTTGAGGTATACTGGTATACCCTGGCATTTCCTTTACATGTTACTTTATATTTCTACAGTTCTACTCCACAACAACTCAAAAGGAAACAGCATACTGTACTTTTTTCTATTTACTTTTATTACTCTATTTGACTACTTAATTGTTTCTATTTGACAGCAGTTACTTTGCAGATTTACATTATAATACAAATCATTAAAAGTAATTCGCTACATTTGCTCATCAACCATTATAGTCTATTTATATGACAAAATATAGTATTCTCACTACTTAGTAAATACTAAACACTTAGTAAATGTTGATGCTAATATTTAGAATGCAATACCATTGTATTTCTATTTTAATGAACCACTGGTCACTGGTGTCCTTTCATGTGTACATGTTACTCATATTAATGGATTTCAATGAACAGAGCCATTCACCTCGGTTCCAATTTCTCAGGGCATCATAGAGCTGTCATGCTTGCTGCAGACAAGAAGTGCACATGCTTGTAATCATCCACAGTGCTGTCAGTAAGCTTTATGTTCAGCATCATGTTCAGCACACCAGCAGCTTCTCCACCATTCTCCACCCCCTAGATGTATATTGACTACAATACTTAAGGTTATTAACTTCTCTCACAACCCCTTCTTGTCAGAGCAGGATAAACAAATCTCGTAACCACCGCACTGCCTTGTCCCGAAGAGAGCAGCAGCAGCTCTGTTTGCCTTTTGGTTGGTGACAACACAGGAACATGTGGTCATGCAGCGGCCAATACGAAGCCCAGAGCAGGCGATCAACACTGTCAGACTAAAGCAGCAGCAGCAGCAGCAGCAGCAGTGCTGGCACCAGAGAGGAACTCCGCCGCCCGTCCCCCTGCAGAAAGCAACCCCCTCTAAAAGAGACAGAGAGAGAGGGGGAGAGACACAGAGGATTTGTTAATAGAGCAGAGGAGGATGAGGAAGCAGTGGGAAGGGGACGTTTTAGAAGAGGCTTCACAGAGGCAAAAACAAGTCTGTGTGATCCAGGTCTCAAGATGTAGGAGCGGCATCAGAGGAGTCCAAAGTCAGTGTGTGTGTGTGTGTGTGTGTGTGTGAACGCACCATAACATCATAGGACTTGTGTTTCAAGGATAGTGAAGGTGGCAACCTGAGAAGTCCTCCCCTCTACCTCCACAGAGGATGTCAAATTAGTCCTTATTCAGCAAGGAGCGAGAGCATCAACCTGAGGTGAGTGAAGTGCAAAGTCATGCTGTTTCCACCTGATGTGAACACGTTGTTCTCACTTATCTTCTTTGCCACTTGTTTTTGTCCAATATGGAGATGAGTGGTGTGTGCAGAGCTGCATGTCTATGGTGATTCCCTTTATGCTGTGCCATTTGTTTTGATAAATAATGGCTGTTTTCTATCTTACTCCCCTGTCCCGACTGATATGCCAGGGGGAATCAAGTGTGGTGATGAAGTGGGGCTTGTTGTCTCTTGATGTGATTTCATTATCCAGGATCAGATGTTGTCCACGGCTCAGCAGATGCTGCAGGATAGCCGCTCCAAGATCGAGCTGATCCGACTGCAGATTATCAAAGTCACCCAGGCTGGCAGCAGCAGTGGAATTGGCGAGGATGGTGGCGGAGATCCCACTCATGGAGGTCAGAGTCCTGGGCCATGACCCCTATTGTAGAGGGTCGCTGCATGTCAAAAAGATGATTAGTTGTTTACATGATTGGTTGGAATTTTGTTTATTTCTAGAGGCATTTGTAGTGGAAATGTACAGCTTCTTCTAGCATGTAAACTATCTCCAACAAGGCATGAAATCATATTTACTGTCATACAATACATCTCTCACCACGAGCAACATAAACACATCTGTAACACACATTTTCGCTGGTTTTTAATCACAGTCATTTTTGTAGAGCAAGCTGGCTCGTTACACCAGCAATCTATAAGAAAGAAGGAATCTAAACATAATAGATAACAACATACTGGGACAATCAAACTGTAATGCCATTTTGTAATAGAGAACCATACTTTCTAAACTCAGAATCTCAAACTCAGCCTCAGGGTCGCTGGTATTGATAAACATTTCCATACTTTTCAGCAGAAACTGTATGGTTATTATAAATGTTTCTGTGTGTCAGGAAAAATACTTTTTAAAAAGAGACATTATGATGTCAGATGTGGATGTCCTTCTTCTGTGGAAGGAGGTCACGACTCTGTTTTCAAGGAAGGGGATTAAGGGTAAAACAAAGTTTTAGGATTTTTCTTTTTCTTTTGTAAACCGTGCCAATTTATTTACCCTGCTGATGTCAAGCCAGATACACACCTAAAAGTAAAGCCAGTAAATTACGCAAGACCTTCCTTTTATTAAACAGGTTTTGGTTGACATGCTGTATCAAGCTGTGACAATAGTTTTTCATTTTCAATAATGTTTTTGTGTTTCAAAAACCCTTCCATGGAAAGAAATACAGCTGAATGACACTTGGTAACAGCTAACAATGCCTGTCAGAAACTTCTGTCCTGAAATATAATACTACCCATATTAGTTGAACCGTGCTTCCTGCCACCCTTCCTTTTTGCAAGCGTTATTTGTTTAATCCGGAAAGTGAAACCACTCTTGAACCTCTAATAAGAGACGGTACATTTAGCGTACTTCGGAACTGTAGATATGTGCTACAGAGTGAAAACTCTGAAACTAACACAAAATTATTCATGGCTCAAAAGTAATACGAGACATGTAACTGTACCTTGTTGTTACCTCGTCTCATGTTTCATTTCCTTCACCCCTGACTTTTTTTCTCATTGATTCTTTTGTTATGTTTTGTTCTGTCGGGAATTTAAGTTCTTGTTACTACTAGCAGCTTGATTCACTGTGTATCCAAGTGTCAGCTACATTTGATAAGACAGTAGGGCACTTTACACCTTACACACTGTGCTGCTGCTTTGGAAGAGATCAGATAAAAGTGGATTGATCCCAAAGGACATTGTTTTTCAGCAGTTGCAGTATAGAGTGGGAAAAAGTGGGAAAATATAGACAATAAGGGTAATCCATGGGGTGCAAAAAACAAAACACCACACTTGCAGGGGTGTTAACAAGTTAAGTTTTACAAATATAAAACAGTAAGGTGCAAGTAAACACTTAACATTAAGAGTCATTAAGAGAATAATAATAGATTTATTCACAATTTTCCACAATAAATAACTATTATTTTTCACGCCCTCAAAGAACACTCAGGACTTGAATACAACATTTTGAGAAATAAGGTACATAATTGATGCATTTCAATGTATACCATACAGATGATACAGATAATACACAGAAACCATTTTACCATGTTCACGCTTCAGGAAATGTTAATTGAAGGGGGCTTATTATGCTTTTTGGGGGTTTTCCTTTTCCTGTAAGATAAGGCAAGGCAAGGCAAGTTTATTTATATAGCACTTTTCAACACAAGGCAATTCAAAGTGCTTTACAAAAATGAAAGAGATTAAGAAAATGGCATTTAAAATCAGTCATTAAAAAGAAAAGCTAATAAAATAAACATTAAAAGAAAAAATACATGGATCAAAGTTACAGTGCAGTCTAAGATATGAATAGTTTAATTAAAAGCAGCGACAAAAAGAAAAGTCTTCAGTCTGGATTTAAAAGTAGTCAGAGTTGTAGCGGACCTGCAGGTTTCTGGGAGTTTGTTCCAGATATTTGGAGCATAATAACTGAACGCTGCTTTACCATGTTTAGTTCTGACTCTGGGGACAGAAAGCTGACCAGTCCCTGAAGACCTGAGAGATCTGGATGGTTCATCATTTAGCAGGAAGTCAGAAATTTATTTTGGGCCTAAACCATTCAAAGCTTTATAAACCAGCAGCAGTATTTTTGAAATCTATTCTTTGACACACAGGAAGCCAGTGTAAAGACTTCAGAACAGGTAGTAACTGTAGTGTGATACATAGGTTTTTGTGCATGTAAATGGTCTGCAAATGCTAAAATCCTAAAGTTCCCTCCAGAGTTTCACTCCCACACACTCCCATCCCTATGTAGCATAGTACAAAAATGAACCTAAAATGAGCTAAGACCCATTTAAGGCCGATTCCCCACGGAAAACAAAGAATTTGTAGAGAATCTTTTAGAAAAACAATGATGAAATGGATGAAATGTTTAACACTATACATTACAGGACTATACAGGGCCGCTGACTGTTGATATCTTTAAAAAAGCACTCAAAACACATCTGTTTGTCAAGGCTTTCAGCCTCAATGATCTCTCTCCTTTACATGTTTTGTGACCAGCCTTTTGTTTATTTCTGTTTTTTTGTTTTCCTTTTTGTCCCCACAACGGCCCCTCGTCCTATTGTAAAGCGCCCTTGGGTCTCTTGAAAGGCGCTTTATAAATCCAAGTTATTACTATTATTATTATTATTATTCATTTTTACCTAACTCATTGTTCCTTGTCTCCTTGTATTAACTTTGCAAAGGATAAACGGTTTTCTCCCAATGTGTCGTTTTTATATTTCCTTTTAGAGCTTTCATACATTTCAGATAATTGTCAGCTAAATGTCAGGAACATAAAAATGTAACGTACAGACCTTTGCGAGGAGCACAGAGACATTTCAGAGAAAAGGGCTCTGCTAAGCATTATAAATATTGAATGCAAGAGTGAGAAGAGGCTATATGAGGATGTATCACTCATCTGAAGTGAATTCCTGTAGACTGAAATACTCTCCCTCTCGTCTTATAGGGATCTCTCCTGTCAGTGCTGTGGAGGCTCGTTTGGCAGAGTTGCAGCACTACATGCAGAGAGAGACTGATGCCTTGGTGCTGGCCAAAGATGTGGTGAAGCAGCTGGAGGGAATCTCAGCGCTGGACCAGAAGGCACTGACTGAGGTAGAACTCTCTATAAAAAATGGTATCAAACAAAAATATGAAAGGATATCGTCATGACAGCAGATTTCCTACTCCTTTTTTGTTGTAGAATAACATCGAGCTATAGAGAAAGATGTGTAAAACATTTGGGTTTTCTTGATAATCATTTCTGAAGGACAGCTTAGAGATCTTATTTAATATTTTGAGTTTCTTTTCTGATAACAGAATTATTGCTGTTGCGTAAAAGCTTCTGACATCACAGCCTTGCAATCAGCTTTAATCTAACTCTAAAAATGGTAGTGTGCTCATTTTTTATTATTACCCCACTTAATAAGATTTATTCTAATGAACTATTTTAGATTTTCAATATATGAGTTCCATTTTTATTATTATTATATATTTGTTTTTATTATAATTGTGATAATAATGAATTTATTATGTTCAAAAAAGTACATGTATGGGAACATTAAATCAAAATGTCTCTGATCATAAAAGGATATCAACTGTATGGCTAGCAACACTTTAAAATACTGTAGTACAGAAACATGAAGAATATATTTATAAATAATGTTTCATTTTACTGGTGTATAGTCGAGCCCATTGCAAATCATCTATCTTGCAATCTTAACATAAAATGACTGATGACCATTTTCAAGTGCATCGTGCAGTAGGTTTGTCTAACAGGCGTACTCCTAGAGGGGATCAAGCGTCCCGTCGTGTGAGTGTGTATCTGTCTGTCCACAGCTAATTTGGTACTGTGGTCACATCAGCCCAATACTTCTTGTGCATGTTTATGAACTCTAATGGCTTAAAAATGTTAAACTTTTGTATTACTATTGTATACCGTCATTGGCTGCTGACTGCTCACCACCCTGAACTGTCTGGTAGAGGCTGAAAGGGTCAACAACTTATTAAGTAGCAAAAGCCTGTTTTGGTCTTCATCCTAGCTGAAAATCATCATCCATAAACAAGTTTGGTCTGATTTTGGACGAGGACATCTGCAGGTTAATTTCATACCCTGATATATTATCATCAACTAAGGTTAGGCTGAATTGTCTTTAACTCTTCTCTGTCAAGCAGACCGATCATAACAACACATTGTCTATCTTCCTTCAGGCTCAGACCCGGGTGCAGGAGTCCTCCCAGAAGCTGGATCTTCTGCGGCTGTCTCTGGATAAGTGCAAGAAGGAAAACAACCAGGAGCCTGCAGGGGGGGGGCGTTCCTTCTGAGGGAACTCTGTCTCCTAAAAACTCCAGACCTGGATGTCCCCTGTCCACGTCCCCATCCATCTTCTCTTTCAGACCTGCCTTTTTGACTGGTACACATTGCAATACTGACACGGATCTGAACTGCTTAAAACGTTAATATCCGTACATTTCATTTATTTTACCAGTCCATCTCACAAGGTTTTACTTTACTTATCACACCACAGCATTATACATGTTTATATACAGCTATTCTCAAACTTGTATTAAGTTATAAGGCATTATCTATTTTTGAAAAGGATGGTTTTGGTCTTTGATTTTGCTCTAAGCTGCTATAACGGTAACATTTCCCATTGGAATTAATAAAGGTATATCTTAAAATGACCCAATTCAAACTGTTTATGAATAAAAAAAATGTTTATGAAAGATTCATCTTCATGCCGTTCGTATAAGTGCGGAATTAAAAAGTAGTAGTTGTATTTTCTCTTACTATAAAATGTACTTCTAAATGTAATAATTTTTTTACTCAAATATTCAGTAGTATTATGGATGCCTAGTTTTTGAACATGGTGAGCATACGCTGACCTCTGGCAGAGGATAATCAGGATGTGTAATCTGTTTTTTTTTGGACAGTTCACTTGTAAGCTGCACAAAAAGCCTTTTGATTATGTAACAAGGAGACACATTCTGTGGCAAAAAATTGGTCTCAGAGCAGTGAATACACTCAAGTTGATTTTTGGCTCCCCAGCTACAGTTAGATTAAGTACATTTAGATGTACGTGCGCCAGAGAGCAGCACTTATTACAGGCTTCGGTCTGAGAGATTTCTTCACGCTGATAAATGAAAGGTTTAATTTGAAGTGCACTAGCTCACATGCCTTAACTGAGATTCATTACCAGGCATTTGAAATACACCGGGTTAATTTTTTGTGCTCAAAACCACTTCCAACATCTGGTTAGTTATTGTTACTGTCACGATCTGTCTGTGTTGTGTTTTGTCTTTTTCTGTTTTTGGTTTTATTTTTGAAGAGTGTTCACCGCCTGTCTTGCCTGTTGTTGTTTGTCTTTCCTGTCTCCCTCCATGTTGGTCACGGTCAGTTTTGTTTGTTAATGCTACCTGGTGCTACTTGTGTTTTTTCGTGCCATGTTTATGTTCATCAGCTTTTAAATAAAGCTCGTTTTTGTTTCTAGACCTTTTACCTTTTTTATAGTCTGCATTTGGGTCCTACCTTTTCCGCAAACCGTAGCAGAATGAACCAACCAGAAGTGGACCCAGCAGATGATCCATTTGAGGTGGAATTAAGTAATTTTACCTTTTTTTTGGCTTGCTGCTTTGATTGGTGGAAGGGAGCGTCCAGTGTTCGGCAGAAGAGGGCCGCTCTGGTAGAGGCGCACCGGTTGGTAACAGAGAAACCATGTTTAGTGAAGTTTTTACCTGGCTGGATTATGGACTTCCTCCAGACATGTGATTCCCGGCCTGCTAGCCCCAGGCATGTTAGCTCCCTGCCTCTCAATTCCCAACCTCCTGCTCCAGTACCGGCCCACACAGCCATGGTTCCGGCTCCAGAACCGGCCCACACAGCCATGGTTCCAGCCCAGTTCTGGCCCCAGCAGCCATGGTTCCAGCCCCAGTTCTGGCCCCAGCAGCCATGGCCCCAGCCTTAGTCCTGGCCCCAGCAGCCATGGTTCCGGCCCCATTTCCGGCCCCAGCAGCCATGGTTCCGGCTCCAGAACCGGCCCACAAAGCCATGGATCCGTGCACCAGTACCGGCCCACACAGCCATGCTTCCGTGCTTCATTACCTGGTTTACACAGCCAGGGTCCAGGCTTCTGTTCCGTGCCCAACAGCCATGGTTCCGGCTCCAGAACCGGCCCCAGCAGCCATGATTTCGGCTCCAGTACTGGCTCTCCGGCTGACGCCAGCTCCCCGTGTCCTGTCGGCGTACCGGCCGACGCCAGCCCCCCGTGTCCTGTCGGCGTTCTGGCCGACTCCAGCCCCCCGTGTTCTGTCGGCGAACCGACCGTCTCAAGTCTCCTCTCAAGTTCCTTCTCGGGTCCCCTCTCGAGTCCCCTCTCGTGTTCCCTCTCAGGTCCCCTCTCGAGTCTCTTCTCGAGTCCCCTCTCAAGCCACCTCTCAAGTTCCCTCTCGAGTCCCCGCTCAAGTTCCCTCTCGAGTCCCCTCTCGAGTCCCCTCTCGAGTTCCCTCTCGAGTCTCCTTTCGAGTCACCTCTCGAGTCCCCTCTCGAGTCTCCTTTCGAATTCCCTCTCGAGTCCCCTTTCGAGTCCCCTCTCAAGCCCTCTCTCGAGTCCCCTCTCAAGCCCTCTCTCGAGCCCTCTCTCGAGTCCCCTCTCGAGTCCCCTCTCGAGTCCCCTCTCGAGTCTCCTCTCGAGTTCCCTCTCGAGTTCCATCTCAAGTCCCCTCTCCAGTCCCTACTCAAGTCCCTTCTCTAGTCCCTACTCAAGTGCCGTTGGAGGTTCCGCTGGGGGTCCTGCCAACTACTCTTCTGCCGGGGGTCCTGCCAACCCTATATCCTGTCCTGTTAGGGGTCCCGCCGACTACTCTTCTGCCGGGGGTCCTGCCAACCCTATGTCCTGTCCCGTTGGCGGTCCCGCCGACTACTCTTCTGCCGGGGGTCCTGCCAACCCTATGTCCTGTGCCGTTGGAGGTTCCGCTGGGGGTCCTGCCAACTCTATGTCCTGTCCCGTTGGGGGTCCCGCCGACTACTCTTCTGCCAGGGGTCCTGCCAACCCTATGTCCTGTGCCGTTGGAGGTCCCGCCGACTAGTCTCCTGCCGGGGGTCCTGCCAACCCTATGTCCTGTCCCGTTGGGGGTCCCGCCGACTGCTCTTCTGCCGGGGGTCCTGCCAAACCTATGTCCTGTGCCGTTGGAGATTCCGCTGGGGGTCCTGCCAGCTCCGTGTCCTGTCCCGTTGGGGGTCCCGCCGACTGCTCTTCTGCCGGGGGTCCTGCCAACACCATATCCTGTCCTGTTGGGGGTCCCGCCGACACCTGCTCCGCCGGGTTTCCTGCCAACACCGTGTCCTGTCCTGTTTCGGGTCCCATCGACACAACACCAGCCCTTGCTCCGTCGTGGGTCCCACTGACACCAGCCCAGGTTCCGTCCAGGGTCTCGTCTATGTCCGACCCACCAGGGGTTCTACCAGCTCCTGCCCGTCCTTGTGCCCGGCCCCCTGACTTTCCCGGCCGCGGTCTTCGCCCTCGAGCCTGGCCCCCTGACTTTCCCGGCCGCGGTCTTCGCCCTCGAGCCCGGCCCCCTGAGTGCTGCGGTCTTCACCCTCGAGGCCGGCCCCCTGACTTTCCCGGCCGCGGTCCTCGCACTCGGGCCCTGCCCCCTGACTCTTCCAGCCGCTGCCTTTGCCCTCATGCCCGGCCCCCTGAGTTCACCCGCTGTGGCCTTCGCCCCTTTGTGAACGTTTTTGGACGTTTGTGGGACTTTTTGTGTTTAGGGACGTCTGGGATCCGTCCCTTGAGGGGGGGGGGGGGGGGGGTAATGTCACGATCTGTCTGTGTTGTGTTTTGTCTTGTCTTTTTCTGTCTTTGGTTTTATTTTGAAGAGTTCACCGCCTGTCTTGCCTGTTGTTGTTTGTCTTTCCTGTCTCCCTCCATGTTGGTCACGGTCAGTTTTGTTTGTTAATGCTACCTGGTGCTACTTGTGTTTTTTCGTGTCATGTTTATGTTCATCAGCTTTTAAATAAAGCTCGTTTTTGTTTCTAGACCTTTTACCTTTTTTATAGTCTGCATTTGGGTCCTACCTTTTCCGCAAACCGTAACAGTTACACTTGATACTATTTGAATTTAATGGAGGCTGATCGTGTAAATTGAATCTCAAATGTTTCTTTTTTTTAAAAGTCAAAATATTTTTGATCTTCTTTCTTTTCAGGGAAACTTGAAGTCAGACTTCTTGGATGTGAGGATGTACTGACATCCCGGACAAACCCAGAGCAGGAGAACCATCTTTGTCCCTCTGAAGACAGTCCAGATGCTCACAGGACACAGGAACACCCTGGTAAGTGGGCATACTGTATACAAATATGAAACTGAAAATGAGCTTAACATGTCCTCTTTAACTTGAGCTTGTCAAGGGGAGAAAACAAGTTCTTTCCAAAGACTATTCTTAGAAATTATTATTACCCCATAGACTAAAATACAATTATGAAAGCAATGTAATTGATGAAATAAAAAAACATGAAAATGCAAACCTTTGTTCATGATGAGTGGGAGTAAATTACAAGTGTGTGTGTGTGTGACAATTTTTGACATTTAATATAATTTTATATCAATCTTAACTTAAAGTACATATTCAAACTGTCTTCCCGCGGCTTCCAGTGGTCTTTGTCAATGAATAGAATTGTTCAATGTTGTAATTCTCCTAACATGAATTTAAAGCAAACAGATTTTTAAAAGCATTTTTCATGAAAACTGAAACATGCTTGTTAAAGTTAATCTAATCAGTGAGTTTATGGCATTATATTTGTTTCAAACAATGTTGGAAGTCATCTATAAAAGGCCATTTGCCAAGTGGCATGACTCTCTAAGATAAATGGTAAACAAGTAAAAAGTGGTTATACATTGGCATCTTTGGAAGTAGGAGAATCCCTGTAGATGGTGTTATTCTTTGAGTCTCTACAGTGAACCCTGATAAAGCCAAAGTATACATTCTACCTGCAGCAAAGGTGAAGACATGTGTTGAGGAAAGTGGAGCTTCTAGTAGCTAAAGAGGCAGATTAGTTTATCTGGAGAAAATTGTGACCAAAACAGAAACCAAAGAGAGTGAAATGTTGACTTACATTCATCAGGCGGACAGAAACATGACTTCTGCCTGGATAACTGCTCTGTCTCTGGTATGGTGACATTATGACAATTTGCAGTAGGCCTATGTCACAGTTATCTCTGTAATGTTGTTGGGCAGTTATTGGGCTTAAATGTGGCCAACAAAACAATAAATGCAGCTTTAAGCTAATTTAGTGGGAATGCTGTTAACAGCATTCCCACTAACTGTTATTCTACGGACGAAAAGTTTATTATTATTATTCCGCCGACTTATTTTGGCCCTCTTCTCCTCCTGCATTGAACATCGCAGAAACTCCGTTCAAACATCAAAACGTTCGGCTCGGTCAGGAATCGATGGCTATTACTTTTCTCATTCATAACTTTCATAATTCCAGAGATACATCCCATAATACATCATATTTTTAACATTGAAGTCAATGGAGGAAATCTTCAGACTTCAACAAATCTTCATGCGATTCAACTGCTAACTGTTCATTCATACTTTCACTCAGAAACCTCATTCCAACTTTAAAATGTTACACATCTTTCTGACATTATTCGTGTAAAACAACTTTTAAATCTTTTAGAGATATTAACATTTGTTCAGACCTTGTTTTAGAGGTTTTCTTCAGATTTTAACATTAACTAGAGTGCGTGATGTCACAGCTAGAGGGTAAGAAATCTTGAAATGTGCCTTCATATATTTTTTAAAAACTGCCATAATTCCCAAACCCTACATTCCTGGGACATAATTGTTCATGATAAACGTAGGAAAACATCTAGTAGCTTGAAAAATGACAAATAATTAAGCAAAAATAATTCAACAAAGTGCCTCTTGAGGGCATGAAGTGACAAAAACGTTCAACATTCCTCCATTGAAGCCCATTGTAATTTCAGGCAGATATTTCCTCACGGTAGCAGCCGCACACCTTTAGTTAAACTGCCAAAAAGGCCACATTATTAACCCGAAACGACACACAAATTACACTTCAGATACTCAACTTCCTTGACATGCTTCACGTTTTGAAATTTCACAGATATCTGTTACGGTTCTTCCACAAAACGTTCACATGTAAGAGGTTTATCTCTCATTCAGAACAATGGAAACCTGTGATCTCTACAGAACTATAAACACCTGTGTAATGGAACACGATGATGTCATCACTCCAACTGACATGCAGCAGACTTCAACAGTCCAGCTGTGAAGACATCTTCTGGACAGTTTTGAGATTTCTTCAAATGCCGTTGTCATGGCAACACAATGCTCGCCTTGAAACACGGTTTTCTCATAACTTCAGTGAAAATACTCCAAACAGCCCAGAACTTCACAGGTTTGATAACGATGCAGCCATCAATGCATCTAAGCGTAGTATGGGGTGTCATGAAATGCCATTGCCATGGCGACAGACCACTCGCCATGAAACACGATGAGGCTGTAAGTCCAATGGACACGGTCCAATCGTCCCCTAATCTTCACTTGTATATCACCGGTCCATGCCTCAACAGCCCTACGCCAAATCTGAGATCTCATCATATGCCGTTTCCATGGAAACGCATCCCTCGCCATAAAACATGATGTCGCTATAAGTCCAATGGACACGGTCCAATCGTCCCCCAATCTTCACTTGTATATCACCGGTCCATGCCTCAACAGCTCTACGCCAAATCTGAGATCTCACCATATGCCGTTTCCATGGAAACGCATCCCTCGCCATAAAACATGATGTCGCTATAAGTCCAATGGACACGGTCCAATCGTCCCCCAATCTTCACTTGTATATCACCGGTCCATGCCTCAACAGCTCTACGCCAAATCTGAGATCTCACCATATGCCGTTTCCATGGAAACGCATCCCTCGCCATAAAACATGATGTCGCTATAAGTCCAATGGACACTGTCCAATCGTCCCCTAATCTTCACTTGTATATCACCGGTCCATGCCTCAACAGCTCTACGCCAAATCTGAGATCTCACCATATGCCGTTTCCATGGAAACGCATCCCTCGCCATAAAACATGATGTCGCTATAAGTCCAATGGACACGGTCCAATCGTCCCCCAATCTTCACTTGTATATCACCGGTCCATGCCTCAACAGCTCTACGCCAACTCTGAGATCTCACCATATGCCGTTTCCATGGATCCCTCGCCATAAAACATGATGTCGCTATAACTCCTATGAAAATGTTCAAAAAGTGCTCAAACTTCACATGTGTGCTAACAGTCCAGCCGTGAAGACATCTCCGGGACAGTTTTGAGATTTCTTCAAATGCCGTTGCCATGGCAACACAATGCTTGCCAAGAAACACGGCTTTCTCATAACTTCAGTGAAAATACTCCAAACGTCCCAAAACTTCACAGGTTTGTTAACGATGCAGCCATCAACGCATCTTAGCGTATTATGGGGTGTCATCAAATGCCGTTGCCATGGTGACAGATCATTCGCCATCAAGTTAGTTCAGAAATTTGCAGTTCAAATATTCTGCTGCTTTTCCAAGCCTTTTTACTTTCTTTTCTTCTCTCATCACACATTCAAGCCCCCAGTGTTCATGTATCATTTCAATCTAAATTCTTCACTTTCTTCTTACACATTACATTTTAATCTAAATTCTTCACTTTCTTCTTACACATTACATTTCAGCATAGCAGTTTAGCATCAGCTTTTCAGCATAAAGCATTCCCACTAGCAATTTCTTTAGGAATTGCATTCTCTAGTTCCAATGTGTTGTTCCCACTTTGAACATGCTCAGTTTTGTGAGTACTCGGTATTTGTTTTTATAAATATATACATGTATATTCATATAGTTGATAGCTTATGGTAAATGCAGTATTTACAATCTATTTTATCTTGTTTTCACAGTTGAAATAAAAAAAGAACTTTGACTTCTTACTATGACAAACAATAGGAACAAGGCCTAGGTTTTAATTGTAAATATTGTAGTCACTAAACAAGTTAAGGATGATTTTAGATCGTATTTAACTCCACAGAAAGAGCTGTTCAATTGATGGTTACAACAGTCAGATTATTGCCTTAATCTGATTAGAAACACTTTTGTAGAATGTGGTGATTTTGTGGTTTCAGTTACTTTTATGTGTTTCTGTCCCACAGTGGAGATCAGTGCGGTGCTCCGATTGGACAGCAGAGTGGTGGGACGGACGCGCTTGGCTGCTGTCGGCAGGCTGACCTGGGATCAGACGTTCTGCATCCAGCTGGAGCGGGTGAGTCACTGAAGTGCAGTCAACCCAGCATGTTTACACCAGTAGCATCTCAGTTCTGATGATCATATTGAGTTTATTACCCCTACTACACCTATATTAAACATGGAGAAATCTAAGTTAGGCCATTTTTCCTGAAAGCCAGTTAATACAAAAATCGACTAACTCCGGGAAATTGTTACATTCTTTTTACCTTGTACGCTAATTAGCCCCTATGAAATGATTGAATCCAACTCAATTCAACCAAGTCAATTACAGTGGCACGTTTGGCCAAAACTGGAGGGAAAACTTAAACAATAGCTCCAGATATCCCATAATATAAACCTTCTTTACTGTAGTCCAGCTACCGTTTATGTGATTAATTGTATTATTCTGATCACCAGCACCCAGGTCCAAGCAGTACTTCCTTTGCATGTGCATCCTGTTTCAACCTGAAATAAGTTGAACAACAGAAACAGGACACCACTGAGATACTCCAGGATCAAAGACAGCATGTTCTCCTTGTATGATGGATGGACTGGACTTTGTCTCTGTGACATTGGTGCAGATAGAAAGAGGATCAGCAGCTTACAGGCTGTAGTAACGCTGCATGTGCTGACACGTTGTATAATATGTCCACCACAGGACCTTACAGAGTGTACAAGGGCACCATGCAGGGAGGGAATACACAGGAAGTATACACTTGAGTAATAAAATGTGTGTAAAAACTGTAAGTTGAACCAAGCAATTCCTTTTTGTCCTCAACATGACACCGGGAGATGAATGAGAAAAACTGTTCATTCTGGTTTTCTAGAGCACTTTCTTAATTTTTTTAGTGTCCCGTGGGTTTTGTCTTTTTAAAATAAATATATTTGATAGCATTAAGGGAGATAACAAGTGATGCAATTATAGGAACATAGATTATATTATTTGTGTTTAATTTATTAATAGTTTGTATAGTGTATATTAACTTTTAGCCTTTCAAAATACACATTTTAATTCATGGTATTTTTGGAGTCAGTTTGACTTCATCTCATTTTCAACCATTCCCCCCGTACTTGAGGAAAAATGTTTATGTTTTAACTTATTGAGGTAGAGTCAGTGTTTGCCTTGTAAAACTATGCATAAGTTAACAGCAAGCACAAAACATTTGATATTAACTTTAATATAATTATTGGAAGTGAATTTGATTATCAAATGTTCATGTAATAAAGCTTTTGTGGAAAAGATTGACCCAATGTCCTCTACAGGGGACATTTACAAAATAATACATATATATTTGAGAAGGAAATCTTTTTAATGTTTCTTGCATCTAGATAACTTAAATACTTAAATGTGTAAACTCTTAATAACACTTATTTTCTTTATATTATATTATAGGCAGGCAATTAAAACAAAAATGAAGTTATAAATCTGTGGGCTCTCGTGCTTGCTGGAAGTGGGGATCTGGATCTGGTCCGACCTCTTTGTATATTTTGTGCCTTTCCGTTGGGTTGAGAAGGAGATTGTTCTCTGGGCTGCTCTCCTTCTGAAGAAAAGGGGGAGCTGACACGTTGTCCTGCAGCAGAGGTGCTCGTGCCCTTTTTCTTGTTATCTCATTATGCAGTATGTCATGGTAATGGCTGAATTTTTTTGACATGCCCCAACCCAGACACTGAAACCTGTAGTGTACTCTACACTCCCTGAGACTTGAACCGATGGGATCCTGGGAATAATCATGAAAGATACCCCACAATAACCTACATACTGGCAATATATACTGTTGTCATTTGTAGTCTTTTTGTAGTTGTTTTGTGTAATTTAGATATAGTTTTGGTCTTTATATCGTTTTGTTTTTTGTTTTACTTTACCCCTTTTTGTAGTCAGTTTGTGTCTTTTTCTGGGTTACCCCCTAATCCCACCAGGAGCGTCTGCGCTGCGTTGCGCTGCGGCTGCGGCGTTTTTAGCGATCGCGGCCACTCTAGTCAATGGGTGCTATTCCACCAGACACGCTGCGCCGCGGCTCGAAGCGTCCCAGAAGCTCCTCGCCGCAAGGAATTTCTAAAATATAGGATGAATCCTATTTTTGACGCGGCGCAGCGCGGCGCAGGCAGGAAGTGGAACGTTCATCCAACAACTGCGAGGCTGCACACAAGACGCTCCGCTTCCGCAACGTTTTGAAACGCGCCTGGTGGGTTAGGACGCAGGAGGAGGTCGCAGCGCGGCGCAGCCGCAGCGCAGACGCTCCTGGTGCGATTAGGGGGTTAGTGTGTCTTTAAATGGCACTTGTTAGGTAAATGCCACGGGGGTCCTGACTAGGGATTGGGACTTTTTTATAGAGGACCGCAATACAAAAAGAAATGTTTTGATACCTTCATACAGGCAAAACACATTATACTGTATGTTAATTAAATATAGGCTGTCGTGATAAAGTAAAACACCACCGACTTGATATAGAGTGGTGTAGTGACGCGTCCTAAAACCCAGAAGTAAACTGCGGATGGGTTCCTTCCATGGATGTATAATAAGAACAGAAAGGGAAAGGGAGGAAAAATAACAGCCCCCTCTGCTCCCAGGGGCTCCCGCCAAGCTGACGTCATGTCCGTCCCATTACCGGTCGTGCAGCCTGAAGGAATGTGTACAACAACTAATAGCCACTTTCTGTCCATCGGACGAGTGTCTTACAATACTGTTCACGTACGCAACTTACTAATTACTCTCACGATAGTCTACACATTTCGCATGTGAGAGCAGGATATTGCAGAACCAGCACAGAGCCACTGTCTTCTTCTTCCTATTTGGCAAACTAGATGGTGCAGTGTCACAGTGCTGCCCTCTACTGGTGGTTATTCGTTTAATAATATCACTCGTGGTAATTTCACCATGATGGAATAGTCCAAGGGCATTTGGTGGAGGAATGGAGGAGGGCTTCGAGGAAGACAGAGGGGGCTGATTGGATGGGCTGGGAGGAAGAATGAGACACCATCAGAATATTAAATAGCTGCAATCATAAAACAAAATGAAAAGCTATTCTGGGAAATCTGCACTCCTACTTGCCACCTTTTGAAACTTGTGTTATTTTCCTGATGATACTGTTGATATATTTTTTAATTCTTACTTGCAAGAGAGTGTATCATCATTTTCTTAAGCTTTAATGTATTATTGTTGTAGTTTTGTCTGGAACCTGCAGGTGTCCATCTACTACCTGCAGATATTCTTTCATCAGCTCAATCATTCATTACATGCAATGACACTATTATTTTTAGAATAAGATGGCTTTTGCTTTGGGAGTTATTTTTTAATTGTTTTCATATTGTGGGGTTGTGTTTTTGGATCACATTTGTAAATCAATTATAATCAGTAATTGTTTGTGTTCATTAACTGTTGTGCTTGTTCTGTCTGCTCTCCTTTTGTTGAAAAGTCTCGAGAGCTGGAGGTGGCTGTGTTCTGGCGGGACCGGAGGGCGATGTGTGCTGTCAAGTTGCTGCGACTGGAGGACATGATGGACAACCAGGACCACAACCAGGAGTTCCCTCTGGAGCCACAGGGCCTCCTCTATGCCAAGGTACTTGCAACGGCTTCCTGGTGTTTGCAGTGCTGGAATGTAACTGAAATAAAAAATTACTTAAATACATGTAAATGGACTCAAAATATATATTCTAAATATCTAAATCAGTATAATGAGGCATACACTTGAATGCAGCAGCTCATATTTCCTCATAACTTCCAACATCGTTTTACTTAAGTCAGGTTTTGAATGCAGAATTTGTACTTATTTTCAAATGGTGGTATAAGTACCTTTACATCAAATATTTAAATACTTGTGTCACCACTTGGTGTTTGGTAGTAAAAGTCTTATAATGTCTAAACAGGCTTTTGTACGGATCATATTTCTGAGGAGGGTATATTTTTGATGATTAAATCAATCCTTTAAGGCCTACAGTTTCAAAATGAAATGTTCAGGTACTTGTTGCAGACAGACACACAGGTTCTGAACGTACTGGAGTTTTATGAAGAATGGTTATTACATCGTTCAGGTGAGAATGTTCCTGAGTGTGGACATGTGAAGTATTTTAGGGGGAAGCAGGGGTTCCCTTTATGTATAAGTGGAGAGCTTTAGAGGCTAGTGTCATTTCAGTGGAATGTGTAGTATGGAGAAATTGTTTAGGCAAACAATGACAACTGGACTATAGAGCCTTTTACTGGTGTACACATCAAAACAAAAGGATCCTAAAGCAATTGTACTTTTCGGAAACATTTGAAAACCTGTTTCTCTCTGCATCGGAGGCCTCAACATCCTAATATGTGGTGAAAGAACGTTGCTTTACATCATTAATATGTGCTTTCCTTTAAATACATTCTCAAAAAGTACAGCAAAAGATACATTCTGGGTTACTCGAAGTATAGCAAATAAATGATTCCAAAAAACTAATATTGTTACGTTCCCTATTAGTCTAGGGATGAAAGGGCAAAAGATTAAATAACTGGGAGAAAAGAAGGAGAAACTGATCAGAAAAATTAAAAAGATAATGTTTTAATGACTCCAAACAAAGAGGGGTCACTAGCCAATTGACCAAACAAACCAAAGTATAACAAGAACAACTCTCCCAGCATTAGCTGCATTCATTTACATGCATATATTTTGAATATAAGATGTTGAGAAATTGAGCAATAACACAAGTGAATGTCCAAAATAATTCTTCTCCTGTTATCTTTTTTCAGCTTCAATTCATCGACACTGTTGTTGAGCGGCAGCCGAAGCTGAGGCGTCAGAGATGTATCTTCACCAAAGAGAGAGGTACAGAGGAAATACCGAAAGCATCAAACAATTTCCTTTCAAAGGACTTCGTCTGTGTTTCTGCTCCTCTGGTGTAACATGGTAACCTTTTCTTCCTCAGGGAAGAACTTCCTCAGAGCGGCCCAGATGAACATGAATTTCGCCACATGGGGTCACCTGATGATGAACATCCTCCCTCACTACAGCTCCTTCACCACCTTCAGCTCGTCCATCTATACGCCCCCCGACCTGGTGGCCAACAACCCCCCCTCTCCAACTGAGAAGGAGCCTCTAGCTACCACTCCACTGCCAAGGTCAGAATCACCTGACACTTAGTAGGGTGTAAATCTCTGCCCAAACTGTGTGAGCCAACATCTTTTATGTCTTTGTGTCTCGCAGCGAGTCTCCAGAAGTCAGACTCAGCCTCTCTGAGGATCAGCCGCCTCCCACCAGCCTCCAGCCGGGAGACGACCCCCTCGCCATCATCACCACAGCACACAAAACATCCTCTGTGCCTGCCTCGCAAGAAAATCTGGTACATGACTGTTTTTTAAATTGATTTTGAAACAATGAAGACAGTAGCTAAATACTAAAGTTTTTGACCTCCAATATTATACACATCAATCAATCAATCAATCAATCAATCAGATGTATTTATAAAGCACATTTAAAAACAAACCACGTTCACCAAACTGCTGTACGGAACAGAGCAGGTGGCCAAGACAACCTTTCATCAAATAAATAAATACCAGTTGGAGTTGAATACCAGTTAAATACCTGGGCCAGTTGCAGGGATGACTGACAGATCCCAGTATATAGGGAGTTGCAGTCGCCTAGACGGGACGATATAAAGGCGTGGATAACTTTCTCAAGATTATTGGAAGAGAGAAACAGATAGATTTTGGCCATGGTACGAAGCTGGAAAAAAACTGGCTTTAACTACTTCAAATACAGTTGGTCTCAATCCCAGAGCGTCTTCATACTGACGCACCAGGCACCTTTTAGAGTCTAAATGAGTGTGGATTTTCAAGAAACTCCCCCAACAGCAGGTCAACAAACACAGGACCAGCGTTCATGTCCCCGAGGACACAGGCAGGTACTCGGGGAACCGGACAGGAACAAAGACGACGAACCTACAAACACAAGGGGAGACAGGCCTATATACACACAAGATTAACACAATCATACAATCACACAGGTTTAAAAACAAAAAGACAGGAAGTAAAACCAGACAAGACACAAAGAGAATATACATTTCAAAATAACATAGTTATAATACCAAATGCAGTGGATCATTAAGAAAGCTCTTGCAGACATGGTGATGTTAGGATGTCATGTGTTGAGGTGACTGAATGATAAAATGTTCCAAACGTTGTCTCTGTTTGTTTGCAGTCTTCCATAAACAACACAGAAGAAAGTGGAGACCAGCCTGTATCTGCTCTAAAGTAAACACACACAAACGAATGCACGCATATGTATACACAAATCCTAATGACTTTTAAGTTAATTGTTGGCTCTTCTTTCACAAGGATGCAGATGGATGATTTCAAATATTTTTCAGTACTGGGCAGAGGACATTTTGGGAAGGTAAAAGTTTGAACGCTTTTCACTTAAACTGTTAAATGATCTTCTTCTGGTGTTCATCTTTAGTTGTTTGTTGTGAATCTTCTGTTCAGGTTCTGCTGGCAGAGTTCAAGAAGACAGGAAAACTGTACGCCATCAAAGCCTTGAAGAAAAGAGACATTGTGACACGAGATGAAGTGGACAGGTGTGTGAAGGGAAAGCTTTAAAGGGGCCCTTTATGCTTTTTGGAGGTTTCCCTTTCCTGTGGTCGTGTGTTATATAGTTTTTGTGCATGTAAATGTTCTGCAAAGGCTAAAATCCCAAAGTTCACGCTAGAGGGAGTTTCTCAAGAAATTAGCAGAGCCATTAAAGACACATTAAAAGTCTGCTGTAATTTAAAAATAGTTTAAAGCTAAAACAAGACAGAGTTTAAACAAATAGCTACAATTTGCTGATTGTATTTCTCAGGCTTTAAGTTTGAAGGGCATTTTTTGTGTCTTCTTACTAATTTGTTTGTGAATTTCCGACTCGAGATACACTTTGTGTTATATTCCATGCTCTTAACATCCCGATAGCAATGAATATCTTAAGTGCTTTGACAAAAAATCTATAAAAAAATGTCATCTGTGGAAGCCAGTACTGTAAAAAGTACGACTAATCATTTGAGAATAACTGGATGGCCTACCTGCCTGTCAGCCTTCCATCTGTGCACAAACTTATCTCGTGCCCTCATTGGTCATGTGCGCGTTCGTGTGTGTTGGAGGAAGGGCTCTGTGAGGAAGTGGCAGATTTTTTCCGGCTGTGTATTTTCAAATTCGAAAATTACCTACCCCACCTTTAGAGTAATAATCTGTAGGATTATTGAGAAAAGTACGGAGCCCCCTAGGGGACATGGAGAAGAAAAAAAAAATTATTTGAAAAAAAAAAAAAAAATAATGTTTTGCGAGATATCGCAAAACCTTTGCGAGATCTCGCAATACTTTTCATTTAGCTCAATGTACTTCCTGGTCAGTTCGGCTGCTACGGCAACACAGAAACCACAACAATGGAGCGGTTCATCGATTTTACTTTGAGCTTGGCCTTAAATATAAAGATATAACATCAGTGCTTGGCAATAGGCACGGGTTTCACACATAGACTGTATATATAAAGGGTTTCACATAAGTGAAGACACCTCAAGAGAATACCCAGAGCGAGGGGACATGCACGTCCCTCTGAGCTGAGTTATTGACAGATTCGAATTTCGCGGATCAATAACTCATGAACATAACGTTGTAAAAATACAAACAATCATAGCAAGGTAGACAACGAGCAACAGAGTCGTTTCTATCAGAACAGTTCGATACGCGCCGTCATCCGAGCTAAACATCAATAATTGGTCACAATTTGCAGCTTGAGGAGGGAGAGGAGTGCTTAGGGACCGTCTACAAACTGCAACGGGGTTTTGCGAGATCTCGCAAAAAGTATGGCGAGATCTCGCAAAACATTTTATTTATTTATTTTTTCAAATAATTGTTTTCTTCTTCTCCATGTCCCCTAGGGGGCTCCGTAGAAAAGGCCCTTGTATTGGCAACATCAACAAATAATAAAAAGGACTAGTTCCAATACTGTTTGGATCCCTTGCAAGTTATAGTTCCAAAAAACACACCTGCAAATATCAAAATAAGTCAAAGATCATAAAACAGATATTTCGGAGATTGTAACTAAGAACTCAGTAAAACTAAATCGAAGACACTCAGCTAATGTATAGAGATGGTCATTTGTTATACAGGTCTCGTAAATATATGACGTTTAGAGTATTGAATCTGAGTTGTTATTCTGCAGCCTTATGAGCGAGAAGAGGATCTTTGAGATGATCAACGCGTCCAGACATCCGTTCCTGGTGAACCTCCACGGCTGCTTCCAGACCAGCGACCACGTCTGCTTCGTCATGGAGTATTTACCTGGAGGAGACCTCATGATCCACATCCACAACGACGTGTTCAGCGAGGCCCAGACCAGGTTCCTGTTTGTCCTCCTATATGTTTGTGTAATGCATATAACTAAGTATGTTTACAAGGCATTATTCTGAGACAATTGTATAAAGTATTTTATGCAAATCAACTCAAACATTATGATATCTTATAGAAAATGAAGCCGCCCGGCAGTATAAAAAGGGATTAAATGAGCTCCGCTTTGATCAGCTGCAACATGACAACACTTGAAATTTTATAAATGCATTAAAAAAAAACTCCAGAAATAGAAAGAAAGTCCAGCAAGTGTGCTCGTATTCAGTATTATAACTGTTAATGTATTTGTTGTTGTCTACAGGTTTTATTCCGCATGTGTCCTGCTGGGTTTAGAGTTTCTCCACCTGAATAAAATCATCTATCGGTAAGTCTACAGAATAAAGTGATTTCACCTGATTGTACTGTAGCTTCAGACGTGGTTATACCTGCGCTGGGTGTTTTCCACAGAGATCTGAAGCTGGATAACCTGTTGATGGATGCAGATGGGTTTGTGAAAATCACAGACTTCGGACTTTGTAAAGAAGGTGAGTTGATCGCTAAATGCATCAATAGTTGGAATACAGCAGTAATGGGCCGTCAGCATAATGAGGGATTTTACTTTTGGTACGGTTTTTTGTATCTAACTTTTAATAGAATATTTTTAGAACTATGTTATAAAACATTTTGTTGTTTTGCAATGAGTATTTCTTTTTCTTCTTTTTGCTTATTTCTTCAGTACAATTTAAAGGTTTACAGAAAGCCTTATGTCGTGTGTTTGTATGAGATTATGGTCATTAACATTTTTCCTGGATGATTTTGATTGTTAAAAAGAATTGGAATAATTGGGGTAAAATAGTTGTAATAATTGTGTTTTACTTATTTCGACAGGGATGGGTCACGGAGATCGGACCTCCACTTTCTGTGGGACTCCTGAGTTTCTGGCTCCCGAGGTCCTGACAGACGACAACTACACCCGGGCGGTGGACTGGTGGGGGATGGGGGTCCTGATCTTTGAGATGCTCGTTGGAGAGGTAGCTAATACATGTTTTTGTGTTTCTTCGATTAGTTTCTGTTAGTTTTCAAAACATTGATGACAATTATAACATCCATTGCAACATTACATACCCATTTATCTTTAAATTATCAAATTCCTAAATGGACTATAGGTAAAGGGGATTTTTACTCTTTCAGTGCTTGTGCTCATACATTTTGGTATAAGAAGTGCCACACAAGGATTCAACAAGTCATTTGGATTTGATTCCCCTTCCTTTGTCACATGCAGGCGTATTAGAATAAACTGCCCCGCATCTCTACCAACAGTTTGAAAACTACCCTTGTAAAGGTATACCATATTTTTCATCAGAACAGACTGGCCTTTTTATGGAGAGCCTTAAAGACAAAGATGCTAAAACAGAGCGTTCCAGACAGTGGGTGAACACAGGTGTATTCAGAAAGACTTTATGAGAAAAAACACGTTCTAGTAGAAACACAAAATACAAGTATAAGCTTGAAAATCTGTATTATATGTCCCCTTTAAATGTGTTACTCTGCCCTGCTGCTAGTCTCCGTTTCCTGGTGAGGATGAGGAGGAGGTGTTCGACAGCATCGTCAATGATGATGTGCAGTATCCAGGGTCTCTTCCTCCTGATGCGGTCTGCATCATCAAGAAGGTAAAAGCCTCTTATCTAAGGCTCACATAAACCCTGATTCTATTTCAATTACTTGAGGAGTTTAAGCTTAATTTCATACTAAATGTTTTTGTTAGTTCAGCTTAACATCTTTTGGTATAATTGTAGACATAAGACAGACATAAAAGAAGATAATAACAGTAGCACCAGCGGAAAACAAAACGAGTTATCTTGTCATGGTCCTTAGGTTTAATGTTGATAGCAGAAATGTTAAGCGTTTGAGATCCTTGGTTAAGATGGCTGTAACGATCATGTCATATTACTCAATCATCCTTCTGTAGCTGTTGAAGAGGAATCCTCTGAAAAGACTCGGCGCTGGAGAGAGAGATGCAAATGAGGTCAAAGGGGAGAAATTCTTTGAGGTAAAATCCCTTTATTTAACTTTAGGTACTCGTTAAATAAATCATTTTGTGTATTTAATCAAATCCAATGGGGTGTTAGAAGGATTCTTAATTCAAGGCTTTTAAAACAGTTTCTTTAGCTAAACATAGTAATGTGTATATATATATAGGTTTCTGTGCATGTTAATGGTCTGCAAAGGCTGAAACCCCAAAGTTCCCTCCAGAGAGAGTTTCACTCCCAGACACTCCCGCCCCCCCACCTGAAACGCCTACATTGGACTCCTTTGTTTACTTCCGTCACATAGTGACATCACTACGTAACATGTGTGCTTCTATTGGCTAGCGCTTGAAACACATTGTACATGATAGGTTAAGGGGCGGGACATTTCTAAACGGTTGACCAATCATTAGAGTGCCGGCCAGCTAACCAATCATAGCAGACTGGGCTCTGGTTTCAGACAGAGGGTGAAAAGAGGTGTTGCAGCACAGGCAGTATGAGAACAATAAAGAGCTTTTGAACATTTAAACATGGAAACAGTTTGCAGTAGAGGCACAACATATACATATGAAACCTGAAAAGGAGAATAACAGGGCCCCTTTAAGAAAAAAAGGCTAATCAACCCATCTGGAGATATATGGTTTTCACTGTTGGATAAATGTAGTGGAGTCATGAGTAAAACATTATGCCTCTGAGATGTGTAGAAGTCTATGTTTATGTTTATGTTTATTAAGGATCCCCATTAGCTTTTGCTCTCGATAAAAGCTACTCTTCCTGGGGTCCGACACTTAAAACAATACAACAATAATACAACAATAATACAGCAACATTTAGGACATAAGTCCTGACATCATTAACAACATTAAAAACATCACCAATATCATCAAGAACATGCGATCAAATTAAATTAGGGTTCACAGCTCACAAGGGTACATGGTCATTAGTAGATGGCCCTTCAATCTCTTCTTGAAAGAGGCTCTGGACTCTATTTCAGTAAGGTAGTTTGGCAATGAGTTCATTCCTTTATAGCTCTATAAGACACAGAAGATGTGTCCTGGGTTTAGGTGCCAGTAGATGGCCTGATGTAGCTTGTCTAGTCTTATGGTCATGCTCGTCTCTTGTGTAAACTATTTGATCATAAAAATACAGTGGTTTTTTGCTAAATTGGACATTTTTTAGAAAAGTGATAACACGAGATTGCAGACGTTTCTCAACTGGAAGCCATGATAGGCTTCTATGCATAACTCCAATATGAGTGCGCTTCGAACAGTGGAGAGCTAGTCTGGCAGCCTTGTTTTGAGCTATTTGTAATTTCTGTAAATGTGTTTTTGCTGATGACCATATGACCGGACAGTACTCAAGATGTGACAAAACCAGAGACTGAATGACTTGTTTCAAAGTGGTTGGTGTTACATACTTTGTACATTTTCTCGCCACAGCTATGCTCCTTCCCATTTTAGTTACGATACTGTCAATTTGCTTTGTCCACCGTAAACCAGAATCAAGAACAATGCCAAGCAACTTAGTCTCATTTACCTGTTCCACTGGCTGACCAGCCAGTGTCAGGCTTAATGAGGATTGCTGCTTAACATATGTCTGGATCCGAACACCATTGCTTTTGTTTTTGCAATGTTGAGTACCAGTTTGTTATTGTTGACCCAGTCTGCTATGGCTTTAATCTCTATTTTAAGTAGATAGTTTAACTCACTGCATGTTGATGCTGTACTGTACATCGTGGAATCATCAGCATACATTATTACACTGGACTTATTTAATACGTAAGGAAGGTCATTTGTGAATATAGAGTACAACAAAGGCCCAAGCGAACTCCCCTGTGGGACCCCACACTGCAACACCTTACTTTCAGAAAAGCTCCCATTGAAAAACACTCGCTGCCTTCTCCTAGTCAGGTAGCTCTCCATCCAACACATAGCAACAGAACCAAAGCCATAGCATTTGAGTTTGTTCAGCAGCAGACTATGATCGATTACATCGAAAGCTGCGCTAAAGTCTAACATCACAGCTCCTACAAGCCTCCTACCATCCATGCTCTTTAACCAGTCGTCGGTCATTTGTGCAAGTGCTGTACTTGTAGAGTGACCATCTCTATAGGCATGTTGGTAGTTCGTTGTCAGATTGTTACTTGAAAAGTAGTATTGAATTTGGGTGTATACTATTTTTTCTATTAATTGACTTAACACTGGGAGGAGACTTATAGGTCGACTATTGGAACCAGCAAAGGTTTTTCTTTTATCCTTGGGTAATGGGATGACCTTGGCTTCCTTCCAGATCTCGGGGCACACGCCTTGCTCTAAACTTTTATTAAAAATGTGACGTAGAAGTCTAAATCTGCATTAAATGGAAATACTCCAGTACATACCTGGAATTTAAGCACAGTGTTTGAGTACATGTTTCCACTACTGCTATATTTTGTTCTAAATTACAAAAAAGAGTGTACAGCATTTAATATTGATTCAACAAGAAAATATAACTTTGTCTTTCAGACCATCGACTGGGAAGCCCTCCTGGCTAAGACAGCCAAGCCACCATTCCTGCCATCAATCAAAGAGTCAATGGATGTCGGAAACTTTGACAGCGAGTTCACTCAACTCCAGCCAATCCTGTCGCCTCCCGCCAAACCCTTTATCCTCTCCGCCGAGCAGCAGGAAGCCTTCGCAGACTTTGACTTCTGCGCTTTGCACGGATAAAAGAGGAGCTGAAAGGACCAGGGTGGGAAATGTATAACATTTAGTCTGCGGATGGAACTTTGTCCACTTTAGGAGTCACCAACCACCATCATTTACATATTTGTATATCCAACCTATACTTGCAAGTAAAATAAATAAATTACCTAGCCATTTACAATTTTTTGTAAAACGGTTTGGTTTAGCCAAATGACTGAAAACAACACTTAAAATGTGCTGTATCAGCTCATTTATTATCTGTCAATTGGCATAAATGAGCATAATCAGTGACAATTATTATAAGTGATTATCATCTAAATATAAAATAAAGTACCAAGAGTAAAAGTACTCTAACAGTATAGCCCATTTTAGAATAATGCATTTTATATAATTGGATTATATTTTATTGGTGCAATAATATGTTTTAGAGATGCAATTATTCAATAGACAGAAAATGATATGGCAACTATTTGTGAACTCAATTGATCACTAAGGATATATTTAAAGCAAAAAAAATGCTGTTTTCACGCTCTCAAATATAGAGATGTCTTCTCTCTCTATTTCATATCCTAGGTTTTTGATTGATGTAACAGACATTTAAAGACATCAACATGGCCTTTGAGGAAATAAAAAAGGAAATGTTTCACAAATATTTTGACATTTTATAGACCAAACTATAACCGAAAAAAATTAAATGTATTGAGGGGAAATAACCAGAAAATAGTCGGCAGATAGATCTGAAAGTCTGCAAAGTTGCCTAAAAGGACAAATTAAAAGGCAGTGGAGTAAAATGTACAACGTAGCATAAAATGGAAATTAAATACAAGTACCTCTTTAGTACCTTTATACGTTTCCCAGCCTGGTCTCGATAGCACCAACTGAACTAACACCCTGTATAATTCTGCAGCTCAATCATTACAACAGGAACTCTACATACAATCCCATGGCTGATTTTGCTGACTGTTGTGACCGCCATCCAATCGACGGCCAATAGTCGATCAAATAAGCGAGGCAGAATTTTGTTTTGTAACAGAGCAAAAGAAAGTGATACCCTTTATATTTTCTGTGGAGAATCAGGCTTTGCTCTGTTTGCTCAAGCAGTAATAATAATAACTCACATGCTGTTGCTATAAAGAGTATATTTATGAGATCTGGTCAGGTGAAATGTCTACAAACAGGGTGCTTGAAGAGTTTATAACGTTATCACGCCATCTTTAGGGTTTCATTTCATGAATTCAATGCTCGAAAATGTGTTCCGTATCAGAACAAATGCAGGGGGTTTACAAAATAGTGCAAACTAAATCTCAAATTACTGTAGCCATGCAGGTAAGACTGTCAAGAAAGGTCTTGGATCAATTTATTTCCATTTTTGAGGTTGAAAATCATGTCTTCCAATGACTATTTTTTTTTTGTAATCCATAGCATGTTAACACCCTTGATTATGTAAAAAAAAAAACACTAAATTAATTTATTAGGTTCACCAGGTGTTTATAGACTGTATATCGGTCTAAACAAATCCAAGCCTGTTCGGTTAATAATCCCTCCTCCAAAACAATTTAGCTTAGTTAAACGACCGTAAGAGCTAGCTAAACTAGCTTTCGCTAAGTCACTCATGATAATATTTGTATGCTAGCTGTTAACACTCGTTTTTATTTTACAAGACTTTACTGCCTAGTCCCTCCTGAAACCAATTAAAATGTGTAATGTCATGTTTTTTTTTACTTGACTAAAGCTAACTACAAGGCTTTTAACTAAAACCATAGCTGTTAGCAATACAAGTGTTAGATAACATTGACTTGACCTATGCTAACAAGCACTTGTTTCATGCTAATCAAGCATGTCCTTGGTCAGAAACATTACACAATAGGCTACATATGAATAACCAGTCTTAGCCTCTTTAAGCATCCCGTGTGTTCGAGACAGATTCTGCTAGCTTTGTGGCCTTTGCTTATTATACAATATTTGTCTTTCCGAAATACAGTACATTCTGCCAATTATATGCATCACTGTGACAGGCTTTGCTCACTGCCTTGACCAAACAAATGAAACACGCTTACCCAATTTCTGGTAACAAGCGTTTTCTTAAAACATGGACATATTTCAAGTAGTTCCCTCGTAAAGCAAAGATGCATCCATCTCACCTGACCAACTGTTTTTTCATTAGAAGTGCATGGCACCGTGATGAACTTGTGCACTAGAAATCCTATAAATACTAGTGATATATATATATATATAAATAAATAAAAGGGAAGCCATAGAGAATATCATATAGCCATAAAAGTAAGAAAAATAACTGTATTTTGAATTTAGCAAATGTCAGTAGCCTACAATAAATCAAGAGGAAGAAGAGGAGCCGCAGGGACGAAGGTTTTAGAAGCATGTCTTGATATAGTTGAAATTCATAAAAAAACGAATCCCTTTAAGATCTGTTTTTGATATTATCACACTCACATTTGAATAGAAAAACCCTAACTCTGACGGGAGAGGTGGATGAACTATTGAGAACTATAACAGAGTTATACTTTAAAGAGTAACTTAACACTAAAACCAGTTAAATTAGCATAATTGTATCATACTATTAATTGATTGTCTTTAGTGTTAAGCTGTTTTGAATCCTTTTTTCCAGAGCAATATTGAGTAAATATGTAATCTAGAACACAAAGAATACAAATATGTGTTGCTGTCTTGTGCTCTGTGCACCCAAAAAGTACAAGGCAGAATCGGACAGAATGAGAAATCAACGGTTTGAAAAGGTCTGTTTTTTTTATTCCTGACTGCCAAAGACGCTGGAAACCAAGACATTAATGTAAATACAGTTTTGGGTGTCATACATTGCTAGAACCTCAGTTGTAACCACTTCAAACGAGGTGGAGAATGTAGGAAAGATAGTAGTGAAACTCAAGAAATGAAACAACCCCTTTGATTACAATTGAGAGGGAAAATGTGGACCTTTATACGAGAAAAGGACTGAGCGAGTGACAAATGTGGGCGCCGTTCAGTCTGCAAGTCAACATGCAAGAGCAAAATCAATTTAAGCACCTAACCTCTCCTTTCTGTCTGCCTTCTAAAAATGTTTGTTGTTTGTGTGTTGTTTACCTACCTAGACAGACAGATATACATTTATTTGAGTCCAAATGTAATGTCAAATCAATGGGGCGAACTGAAACACGCTCTCTCTTGCAGGTATTTTCGTACTCGCTCAGTTCTTTTCGTCATTTATTTACTTAACTTATTTATTTAAAGGGAGTTATTATCTGTTAGAGCTTTAACAGTGTTAAGTTGCTCTTTAAACAAATAGAATGTTCTTGAATTAAGCTAACTGAATGAATTCTATCAAGACAACGTTGATGTAGCCGCTGTAGCACTTTAAGTTCATGCTGCTGAATATTATATGTTACTTTTGTGTCAGTACTGTATTTATGTATGAATGTGAACAAGGGAATGTCAGTCTGTACAGATGTACTCTATAACAACATGCATATCATCAGTGCTTTAATGTACTCTTGTCAATAAATACAAACAAAACAAATACAGTAAAAAAAACATGTTTGGTTCACTTTGTGTAGATTATCAATTTGTAAAGAAACAAAGGCACAAGACCTGAATCGCCCTAGACATAAAGGCAAAAGGTGTTCAATATGAAAATCACCACTCTCACAAGGCAACAACTCAACGATTTACAGTAGAGCAAGTAATGACCAGACCTGAGAGGAAAACACAGGTTTTCAACAATTGAGATCTTTTCAAATGCATTTCTGTTAAGTCAAATGTTACTTAAGAAAAAGTAAAAAAAGTAGTAGTATCAAAATACATAAGTAACAAAACCAAAAGTACTTATTATGCAGAATAAATTGAACATATTTTTGCTTGAATAATTGGAATTTGCAAAGTAACTAGATTTTTTTGTGTGAAAAGTATTTGACTCCAGAATGTATTGGATTATAATTATAATGTGGCATTAAATGGTAACAATCAAGTAAAGTACATTGATTATAGTACCTCAATTAGGCACTTAAGTACATTACTTGAGTATGTGTACCTTCCACCACTGAAAATAACCATCCACTGAACTAATCATGGTTGTGAAATTGTATCTGTCTGTAGGATCATAGATCATAGAAGGACCAGAAATGAGCACAGAATGTCAGATCTTTAGCCTTGTTCTCTATTTTTAAGTCAGATTAAGCTTTTACCTATAATTGTGCTAGGCATTCAGTTTTTATTTGGACTGCGTTTTAAATCTGATGTTTGAAAGTCTTAGAGGAAGCATTTAAAAGAGAGACATGTTTGCTATAGGCGCTGTATAGTTTGGGCTTCAACTGACACTATCAGGAAAGCAGTATGAAAATAATATTTTAGATTTCTGTAGGTAAAGTGGATTGGAACAAAAGTGTTAATAATCTATAAGGATCAATCAGAGAGGACCCCCTAAGGCCTTTTCTGTAAGTGCAAAAATTGTGTGCATTTTCCACTGATTCTGATCCATTCCAAAATATTATGGGTTACAAGGACTCAAAAGTTGCATACAAAATCAGGGCAGTAGTTTCACGTAATCCTGCTGACAAACAGACAAATAAATAAACAACTGTGGTTGGATCTATTAAAAAGACTGAAATGCTGATATGGAAAGCCCTGCCCCCTTGAACTGCATAGGATCCATCCTCTGAGGGACATGAACATTTTAAGGCAATCCATTTAAACGTTTTTGAGGAATTTCAGTCAGGTCTAAAGTTCTGGGCCGACATAAAAACTGACGTTCAGACGGACCCTGCCATCTTTGGGGCATCACTGCTAGCATGGTTTAAAGGGCGTATTTTTGTAGAAAACCTTGTTTTTACTCCAGCAAAGAGTTATGTTCTGTTATGCTTAAAAAATATTGTACAATTTGAGTAAATAAGCAAAACCAGCAGTTAGTTTGCTAAATACCTGATAAACACTGTATCTCAACTTTTGCAGGTAGTAAGGACATATTTCATGGTCCACTCAAGTTGTTAAGGCCTACCCAAAAGGGCAAATTAAATAATGATTAAAGGTTATTTCCCTGAAAGTAGTGTCCAACCCAGGGTTAGATTCTCATGTTCCGTCTGGTTGGAGGTCAGACAGAGTTGGGGGTGTTTCTGGTGTACATTTTCTCCCACACCACCGTGCTGCACACGCAGAAGAAGTCCCACAGGTTACAGATAACTCCGCGGTCAAACGGGTTCTCCTCGTCACTGAAGTTCTTCAGGTAGGAGATCCTGTGGCGTGACATGAACTCCCAGGTGGTGCAGCTGATGGAGACCAGGTACAGGTGGCAGCCCAACAGCAGCATCACCACCATGGAGAAGACCCCCACCACACCCAGCGCCGCCAGCAGGAACCCGTTCACTCTGAACCACTGCTCCCAGGTGAGGGTGGGGGTGATGCCAGACCTGGAGGACAAAAACAAATGTTCAGGTGAGTCACTATTGTCTTTGGGGTTGTTCTCTGCCCTGATCAAGGTCTGGCAGGCTGAGTATCTTGCCAAGCTGTGTTCAACACCGATCCTGTACCTGCCATTCACCTCAACCAATTAACTGGTTATGTCCCTCCTTTTCTTCAATTAAACGTAACAGGCAGGCCCTACTCACTGAGGTTACTGAGAATACATGTGTTCCTCCATGCACATGCACATCACGTCCTTTCATTGTTAAATTCTGCTGGTTTCTTTTCTAAAGAGGCCATATAATGCTAATTTTCAGATTCATATTTGTAATGTGTTCCTCTGCTTTGACATGTTTCCATGCTTTAATGTTCAAAAAGCTCTTTATTTTTCTCAAACTGCCTGTGCGGCAGCTCCTCTTTTCACCCTCTGTCTGAAACCAGAGCCCAGTCTGCTCTGATTGGTCAGATGGCCGGCTCTGTTGTGATTGGTCAACCACTTAGAGATTTGCCACCCCTTAGCCTTTCACGTACATTTAGTTGTAGTTAGCTAATAGAAGTGCCAGTGTTACATAGTGTGGAAGAGAAAACACCCTCTGGAGGGAACTTTAGCCGTTGCAGACCATTTACAAATAACTATTTACCACACTAGAGCAAAGGGAAACCCCAAAAAGCGTAATCTTTAAAGAGCACAAGGTAGGTTCAGTGTTCAGCAGACATACAGAGCGATGTGTAGCGCCCACAGCAGAGCGAGCAGCTGCACCAGCAGGTAGACGATGAACCAGCGGTGGTTCCTCTCTCCCACACAGTTCTCGATCCATGGGCAGTGGTGGTCGAAGCGACGGACGCAGCGCTTACACGTCTGACAGTGCTTCGCTCTCATTGGCTGCTGCTTAAAAAATGTGTAAGGGGGAGAGAGAGAGAGACAAGTTGTATTGTAACTGGGAGAAGTCAATCCACTATTCAAGATGTAGGTATGGAAGGATATAAGCAGCATGTCAAAAATATTGCAGTGTCTTCTCTCCTTTAAAGCCCGATTGAGCGCACTGATCTCGAGCTTGTAAGACTTCTTTTTTTGTAAAACTTAAACATAAATAGAATAATTAAATAATTAATCACTTATCTTAAAATATTGACTTAGTATCTAAAAAATATTGACTTAGTATATTAAAATATCACTTAGTAGGTTAAATAATGACATAGTTTCTCAAAATAATGATAAACCGTTTCGTTATATTGACTTACTATCTCAAATGATAACTTAGCTTCTTTACATTATGACAAACAGGATTGTTCTCCAATCACATTGGTAGAAATGGTCTTCCACATCATGCCAAAGGTTGACTAGTTGTCCTATCACAGTCAACATGTTGTCGGATTGAATTTTTCCCCAAGTTACACTATCAATAAAAATCTTTGAAAAAAAACCATTTAAATACAAACAGACAACGATAATATAACATGTAAGTCTTGAGCATTTCAACACAGCAAGGTGATATACATAATCTGTGTTTGAGTTAGACAGGTTTAAAAATGAGATATTAAATGAACAAAGAGTATAAAAACATGGGACTTTTCAGACATGTAGAAAACAGGCTGATGGTGAACTCCAGGTGCTGATGAACGGTGTGAGTTGGTGTCAGCTGGTTACCTGCAGCAGGCAGTATCCACAGCGCCTCAGCCGAGGGGTCAAAGACTGAGGAATCATCGATTCCATTTCCTCATTTGAACCCTGAACGCAACACAGAATGACGTGGGTCACACATGAACACACACAAATATGCACACTCTGACCTGGACAGGACTTTCTGTCATTTAACTGCACGTAGCCTGTTTACCTAAAATCACCTTACAGCATTGCTGTCCAATTTCTGAGGTACAGTAAGGATTTCTAGATGAACTCCTTTAATCTACGCAGCTCAGAAAATCAATTTCCACAGACTTTAAAACATGTGAAAGGTAACAAGATGTTCCATTATAGAGCACAGCTTGACTTGTTTTTCTGTTAAAGTTGCATTATAATTATTGCATCATCATGTGAGATCTTTTAAGCTCCATTTAAGACCTGAGAGTCTGATGATGACAGTAAGCATTATTGCTTTTTAAGGTGTGGGTTAGTTAAACTCACCTTGACAGAGTCAGTGAGAATGAAGCCAGGGTCCATTAAAGAAACAGCAAAGTATAAGAGCACTGAGAGTGCGACCAGGAGGAAGAAGAGGAGCGGCAGCAGCAGCTCTCCTTGCTCCTCACATCTCCGCAGATCTGCAAACACACACCATAGAGATAAACTAGCATAACCTAAATATAGTGCTGCAATAAGACTATTAGTGATTTCATGCAATAGTTAATCTAACCAACAGTTGGATTATATGACCTAGAACAGTCTGATCATTTCAGAAACTTGTAAATAGAAATTAAGACCAGGAAATTACAACATTAAATCATAAAAATGTAACAATAACCAAACACCACAATGATATATTTTTTAGAAACTAATACGGTTAAATAGCTTAACTGTTTTTTAATTAAACAAATGGCTAAAGGAAAACAGTAGGGCCGATAGAACAGTCCAGAGCCCTAGAGATACTAATCTCTAGTATCTCTAGGGCTCTGGAACAGTCTAGTAAGCCAAGAGAAATGACACCACTTTAGTATTATGGAGCCTTGAACATCAGAAAAAGACTGTGTGGCATATTACGATGCAACATGTAAGAAGAGATATATCTAGTTTGATATCAACCTATTTTAAATAATGTGGAGTTTCTTTCTAACATCGAATTTTTAAACTTTTAATACTTAAAGGTGGGGTATGTAATTTTCGAGTGCGCTAGAATTTGAAAATACACAGCCGGAAAAAATCTGCCACTTCCTCACAGAGCCCCTCCTCCAACACACACGAACGCGCACATGACCAATGAGGGCACGAGATAAATTTGTGCACAGATAGAAGGCTGACAGGCAGGTAGGCCATCCAGTTACTTTAGCCGGGCCGCTAAAATGACTGGTCGTAATTTTTATATCGCTACGGCTTCCACAAATTACTTTTTTTTATGTATTTATTGTCAAAGCATTTAATATATTCATAGCTATCGGGATGTTAAGAGCATTCCATGGAATATAACAAAAAGTGTTTCTGAAATAAAGTACATTTTCCTGACTATACACGTATTTTAACTGTATTATACTTTTACCTAAGTAACATTGACAATGCAGGAATGCTGCTTTACTCCTAAAACAATTATATAAAATAAGAAGGAGCATAAATAATACCCAATGCATTGAGAGGGTATTTAAAGGTTTTACGACTATCCAAATACTATTCTATTTGGGCCATTAGTGAACCTGGAACCGGACAGGGCGACCTGGGACAAGCCATTCTTTAACTACTTAACTATTGCTAATACTAGTTACTATCATCCTTTTGAAGCCAGGTGTGCTTAAAAGCCCTGGTGGTCCGTCGCGATGCTAGTAGTTTCAGATAAGTTGTATTAGTCTAAATGAACTTACCGGTGTTGTGCAGGAACAGTATGAGGGTAATGACCCAGGTGAGCAGGGTGTGTGTGGCCCGGACCAGAAACCCGGTCCGGAACATGTTCTGCCCCATTTTAAATATCTTTCATTAGCACCGCTGCTGCTGCTAACTAGCTAGCAACAACATAGTTATTTTATAAGACCAATACATATATCATAAATCCCATGTTAACCATATTAGACAAATAACTATGCAGTCCATAGAGTTATAATGTATCTAGTGGACGTAATATACGAGCATTTTATATGTTTTATTTGATCCCTGGTTCTATGTTATCCATCCTGTTGTTGCCCCTGGCTTGTTTAGGTACGGTAGCCTGCGTGGGACATAATAGGCGAACCGTGCGCAAAGGAGGAAGTCAAATGTTTTTTTTAACGGATATAACAAACAAATAAATCTGCAAAACAATTATACTGTTATACGTCTAGCTCTGGATATTAGTACAATTAAGGAACCTCTCCGAGTTGATATCTTAGACGAGTTACTACAGTATATGGTTTATTAAATTATATATTTTTGTATTATATCCCTAAAAGAACGTTTTAAATTGTGTTCAAATTAATATATTAAACTTGTACGAGTGGCTGCTGAATGCAGGAATAATGTAGCTTGTTGTTGAGGTGAAACTGTAATAGTAATGTGATACAAATCATTCTGCACAAAAAAAATGAAGACATCAGACTCAGTATTACAAGAATTTGCATTTATTTGCATCAAAATGGTCCATTAAAACAAGACTAAAACTAATTCTTTACAAAAGAATAATTCAATCTTAATACCTGGATTGATATGACATTCATTCAGAGGCCCTTCCAGCATCAATTAAAGTGCATTATGTCACCCATCTTTTTTTAAAGCCCTGGTTTTTCTTAGTGAACATGTAGTGAAACAAAAAAACATTGGCTTTGTGCGCTTTTCTGTGAATTAAACAATAATCTGCCCGTAACCTGAGGTGAACATTAAGACCTTTATACCTTGAAAACGGGTAAGAACATCTACACAAGTGAACAGACATAATCTGAAACAGTTTACACACACACAACACAAAAGTTATTTTCCAGGTCTAACATCAGCTACAGTGACTCATGAGACAAAACACATTTCACCGGACGACTATATTTAGCGTTTCAAAGGCGCATGTTAAGGCCGTCTCTGGTGTTAGTTTTCACCCTGAATACAATCACTGCATTTATAAAGGTTGCACATTTGGCTCTCCAGGACCACGCAGCATTGTACCTCCTTCCTCTCCTAGACATTCAAAACAATAAATACTGCAGACTGTCATTCAGGAAATCCGCTCATCCATTCATTGATTCATTCGGGAGAGGGATGAGAGATCAAACTCACGTGTGCAAAGTTCTCTCAGTTAAGAACACATTTCTTCCTATAGGCAGAATGGTTGAATAATGAAACTGCTTATTAATGCTATCTGCCATCTAAAGTTACTCGTAATTGGAGTTTCCCCCCCAGAGTTGCATAACACAAATGCTGGTGAATGGAACAGAGCTTGCAATCACACTACTATGAAAAAAAACTCACAGGCACCAAACAGCAGGGACAATATAAGCATTTGGTCCTCCAATAGCTGATCACCCACATCCATCATTTCAACTTCTTTTAAAATAAAATAGCAGCAGTTTAGAATACCGACAACGTGAGCTCACAGAGTCCGTATCCTCCACCTTTTCAACTTAAGTGTCCTTTCTCGTCTTTCATATTCAGACGGACATTCACAGAATGAGACCGCTACAGGAACCAAAAGGCCCCTGGGTTTCCCTAGCAGGAGCAGTATGGGAGGGAGAGTGGGTGAGGTATGTCACATGAATCCTCAGAAGTGTCCTGACAATGAGAGGGTGAGCTTCAGCGCGATTTCACCCCAAGCTGTGTCTTCAAATGCTCGTACACCACGTAGCTAATGCTAACGGCAGGGATGACTTTGAGGAAGTTGGGGGCGAGGCCCCTGTACAGCCCCTTCGGGCCCTCGGTCTGCAAGATCTGCCTGAAGAGACCGGACATAGTCATCTGCTGGCTGCCCTCCACTGCTGCTGTAAAGATGCAAAAGAAAAGAAAAGGGTTACACACAATGCAAGAAACAAAATGGTGAGGAATAAATAAATGGGAGATAGTGATCATTTTAGATCTTGAAATGAGGACATTATCTGAACCATCTTCATTGCCTGAGAAACATAAAGTAAGTGTAGTCCTTTAAGAAGCTGATACTTCCTTAAGATAATTGTTTACACATTTAAAAGGAACCTGTTCCACATTCTTATCTGCGCAATACTTTTTGGTGTGAGCAAAGCTATGACTAAGGTGCATTCTTTCAGGAGCGTTACCTTGTGCTTGCATGCGGGTGCGGACCAGAGCCAGAGGGTAACTGGCGAGCTGACCGCAGGTGCTTGACACGGTGCCGCAGGCCAGCAGGACCAGCACGCCGGGGTCGCTGCTGTTGGTGCCGTACTGCTGCAGGTATCTGTTCTTCAGCGTCTGAGGATGGAGTAGAAAGAGATGAGGAAAAGACACTAGCATGTTCTTAGTACAATGTCCTTTGGTATGTGTTAAGGAGGTTAGCGATAAGATATGAACATTCTTAGGGATGGAAGCAGACCCACAGGTTTAACACTGCTGGAGTGCCTATAGTACTGCTCACCTCGTACACTGCCAGGTCGATGCCTGCGTAGGGGATGATGCCCAACATGTTGGGGATATAGCCTTTATAAAAAGCACAGAGTCCTTCTCTCCTGAAAATCTGCTTGGCACAGTCTGAGATACTCGAGTACTGCCCGGTCTTCCTCAGAGCAAGGCGGGTTTTCAGAACCTGGGGGACAGAGGAAGTCAGTTCTGTTTCATTATAAAGTCTTGAGAACTCCTATATACAGTTTCCAGTTGGCTTTTTATTTGAGAGTAGATGTAATTAAGCTGGTAATCACCTCCATTGGGTAGATGGTGCTCTGTGCGAGCACTCCGGCCAGAGATCCTGCAACAAATCGATCCAAGATCCCCAGAGTCTGCTTCTCGTTACAGATCAATTTCTTTATCTGCACAAGCCGATAGAGAAAGAAAACACATTAATACAGGAACATCAGCGTCATCATTTATTCCTTTTAGGCAAAGCAAAAGCCACTCATCATACCTGCTCATACGCCATGAACTTTAGGGCCGTCTCCGGGGCGATTTTGATGATGTTCACACCATTTCCTCGCCACAATGACTTCATACCACCCTCTCTGATCATCTGCATCATCCCGGTCATGATGCACATGTTGTTGGTTCGGGATCCATAAACCTGAAGGGGAAGAAATTATAATTGTTATAGTCTTAAAAGATCTGATGTGATTTAACTGGAACTTATAAAATAACAATTGATATTTGGGATGTATCGGTCCAAAACTAGGCATGTTCTATTAATCGATGGGAGAAGGCCAAAGCAAATCAATCCTAATCAACAGGGGCTCAAAGTCAATCTTCCATTAGTGACACACATCGGGGCCATTGACACAGATCCTGAATCAGAAGTAGACCTTTATCCCATTGCTGACGGCAAGGTGTACGCGGCGGCCGAGTGTGTGATGACCGAATGTGCGTAGCCATTGGTCGCTGGTGTGTTCTGTCTCTGACGGTTAATCAGTGGACTGTGGAACCTTACTCTCACAAACTGTGTGTCAACCATTAACTGCTTTATTGCGCTTGGGTAACTCAGTCTTTCGCAATTGGGTTTCTTATCAATTGGGACACTTGTGAAATAAGCTTAATAATGCGCTCAAGGCCTTGATTTCATTTATCAAGTGATTTTCAAGTCTTTACATTTGGCCTGAGGGTTGTAGCGTGATGCCAGCTAAATTACCAACAAGCTACTGATAATTCTCACGGTAAGATTTTCATAAGCTTCCCCACAAACTGTCTAGTTCTCAAGGCCTGGACAATTGAAGAACACCATCCCAAACTTCAGTTTCCTGATTAAGTCAACATTCCTAGAATGAGATTTAACCTGGGATTAAGTTTAGTCTTACCTGCATCATGACTTTGAGTCGATCCAGTGGAGCGGTGAAGGTCCTTGAAACAGCTCCAGCTCCTCCGCCGGCAACCAGGTGCCTCCACCAAATCCCGGTCTGCTTCTCCTCCACAGTGAACTCATCGGGCACCATCAGGTTATCCCCCACGTCGAATATCTGTCAACAGAACATACATGAAGTATTAGGTACAGAGAATATGAATGGCGCCATGAATCCCCCACTGACTGCAGGCCACATTTGTAGCTGCTTCATCTTTACAGATCGCACTGAAAGCTGCACATTTACTGTGCAAAACAAAACAGTGAAACCACAGTTTCAATGTTTGTTGGCACCACACCATTCAACAGATCCTCATTCCACAGTAATGTTCAACCTGTTTGCCTGTCACTGAGACACTGCAGGTGGAGATCTAAATGGTATTGCTTGCAGTGGGTAATAAGGAACCCGCTGTGCTGCTTTTGCTGCACTGTATGTACTGAGCTATAATGTTAATGAGGCTCCATAGGCAAAGGAGTAAAGTCCAGAAGGCACAATTGGTTCGGATTAAACCTGCAGCTTTAGATATCTGGTCCTCTTCAACAAATACATTTGGTAAATTGTATCTTTGATTTATCAATCTGACTTAAATTAGATTTGTAACGATATATTGCACATCTCAAATTAGAGGGCCTCAACAGCCTCCCCATACTCAGCTGATGGGGAGTCTCACGGTCACACTGTGGGGATTATACGGGTGTCTCGTAAACCAATTTAATATCAGATTTCTTTCGAGGGAAATGACCATAGCAGCTCATGTTTCATCTGTAAATCACGAGTTACTGCTTGGCCCCCAGGAGGGGTGACTCCCGCTCTATTCCTGGCCCTCCAGCCTGTCAGTGTCTCCTCTGTGCAGAGTTGAGGCAGCTGGACTCATTAGACAGACCTGCCTTGAAATAACACTCATGATCACGCTGCCCTTTAGCAGGAGCGCTGCTATAGCACTTTCATCTCAACCTGCTCTAACTGACCGCTGCGGCTCTGCGTTACATAACTGCAGACAAATCCTTTGGACATAATCCATTAGGAATGTAACCAATGCCTCTCAAAGCTTAATATGGCTTTATTGCTGACGCACGGTTTGTGGTGATAGAGCTTTAAGAGAATTAGCTCTTCAGTTGACTTCTTTCCAGGTGGAAGGTGGAACACACTGCCCTTTGATTAGTTCCAGACAACATGACCGGACGCCCCGATAGCCTTACCGGAGAAGGATTTGTGAAAATAAGTCATCAGAAGATGCATACATCAC